GTTTTTGTATCATTGCTTTAGAAGCGTGCTGATAAGCTAGTAGGGTTGGCCTAGATTCTGATGTGTGTTAAAGTCCGTGTATGTACCTTATTCTCCTTTTATCTACACACCTGCCCAGGGGCACAGGTTAGGGGCCAAATACGTATTTGCTGGATGTATAAGTGAATGACTGATTTTATGGGTAAAATTTGGTTGTTTCAATGAAAAAGTCATCCAGAAGGAGAGGAGGTTACTTCAAGCAGAACCTTACAGTTGGGTAAATACCTTCAAGTGTCTTTCTCCCTAACCACATTTTAGCAAGATTCCCAATGTTCAATCAGGTATTAGGGGCTGATTTACACTCCTAAAACTTATTTTGAAGTCTGACATCTCAATTATTAAGTTACAGGGAATGGGGACCAATCATCTGTATATCCCTGCTGCTGGGCAGTTCTACTCATGGAGACCAAATTAGAGATCAGAGGGTTTGCTGGCTGAACAAATAATGATTTCCATCTGGAAAGAAATGGTATGCAATTTCTAACTGACCTTTTAAAAACTTTTTAGGTATTGCTGGATGCTGTGCCAAAACGACAGTTGCCCCGTTGGATCGAGTAAAGGTTTTATTGCAAGCTCACAATCACCATTATAGACATTTAGGTGAGTACATAAATGCTAAAGATAAAAATGAATGAAAATATTATCCATCTGCTGGCTTGGTTTCTAGTTGTGAATTACAGTAGAAAAAGGACACAAAAGGGAGTTCAAGTTTGGGGGCAAATTTTGCAAGAGATATATCTCTTATATATTTTAATCTTTTCCTTTGCAGTAGTGGTTATTTATGTTATCATTTTAAGGTAATGGTATTTTCCTATCCCAAATCTTGAAATCATTGAAGTGTCGTAAGTACTATTTGTTTATTGAGATTAATAAGTCACATTTTTCACGGACACACAAAACAGCTCAGTCTGATTTTTTAGTGCAATTAGAGGATGGAGATAAGGTTTGATAAATGTAAAACTGAAGTGATTACTCCTTTTAACATTTAGTTAAACAGGCATCCTAGAAATCTTAGGACAAGCAGAATCCAGTGCAATTAGTATTTATTTATGGATAAACTTGCTTTGTTAAAAAATATCAAGACCTTCCTTACAAACATAAAAATCAGCCATTTGATTAACATGTTTACTGTAATAATTTATTATTGGTGGGAATAAGAATTTTTTACAGTGTTTTTAAAGGCCATTTTGTCAATATGCATAGAAGTCTTGAAAAAAATTAATACATACTCTTTGACCTTGCAATTCTAGGAGGTTATTTTGAAGAAGTAAGCAAAGATTGGGCACAGTGGCTCATGCCTGTAATCCTAGCACTTTGGGAGGCTGAGACAAGAAGATCACTTGAGGCCAGGAATTTGAGGTTGCAGGGAGCTATGATGAATACCACTGCACTCTAGCCAAGGCAACAGAGGGAGACCCTGTCTCCAAAAAAAAAAAAAGTAAATAAATGTGGTTAAAGATGTATATGCAAGGATCAAAGCATTATTTATGTAGTTTAAAAAAAACCAGGAACACTCATTTCATTTTATGGAATGAAGTGTTGCCCAATTTAAAAAAAAAACAAAAAACTCCAACCACTGAACAACTAGAAATGTTCAGTAATGGGAAATTGGCAAAATAAGTTTTAGTTTATCCATATTATGGACTATTCTGCAATCATAAAAAATTTATAAAAGAGTATTAATTGACTGGGGACAATGTTTATAATGTCTTAGTTAAATGAAAAAAGAATGTTATATGTGCCTGTAGTCCCAGCTACTTGGGAGGCTGAGGCGGAAGGATC